GATAATCAAAATATGAATGGATTCAAATAATGAACACACTCAACTCTTTTGCTGTATTCCATTGAAACATTATCTTCGAGAGAAGACTCTCTATCTATATATCTCTCCCTCTCTCTCTCTCTCTCTCTCTCTCTCTCTCTCTCTCTCTCTCTCTCTCTCTCTCTCTCTCTCTCTCTCTCTCTCTCTCTCTCTCTCTCTCTCAAAACAATACAAAAGTAATAAACAATCCTCGCTACCTACCCACCCATGTAATGTTGCCATGACAACCTCTTACAGGACAGTTGCCTTTATAAGATGCTGGCCATCATATCATCTTTGGCGTCGCTTATTTAAGAACAAAGATATGTCGTCAGGACTAACAGGAATAAGATCTTACTTTGGAAAACCTCGGACTAAGTCGCATTCAGATTTTTTGAATTAAAGGCGATGTTAATTGTTATATATGATCTATATAGGGTTAAATTTGGAAGTTTTTTTTATACTTTTCTGCAATCTTGTGCCGTCCCAAAACAATCTCCATCACAGCTGATCCATTGAGAGAGTTCCGGACAGTGGTACCACAATCTTCATCACAGTTGCTCCAACAACATCTCCACGATAGCTGGAATAACACAATCTCCACCACAGACTGTGTTATATAGACTTCATTACAATCTTCATAGCTGCTCCAACACAATCTCCACCATAGCTCGAACAACACAAATATCCACCAGAGCTACTCCAGCACAATCCCCACCAGAGTTTCTCCAACACAATTTCCACTACAGTTTCCCATCCACAATTACCACCAGCACAACACTTGCCGCCACCTTTAATATTTACCACAATCACCACTACCACTGTCTTCCACCACCACCACTGGCTATCTCCATGTCTATCACTGCCACCTACTAACAGCACCAACAATTACCACCAACACCCCCCCCCCCCTCCCATCCCCCCCCCTCCCACTACCTACAATCACTAAGTATTACCTACAACATTCATACTACTTTTCAATCATCTACCTACACCTACTACCACCACCACCATCTACTACCACCATTTACTACCACCAGTACGACCTATACCTCTAAGCTTCTGAAGACTTTAAGATGCCCTTCGCCTTCGTCTTCAAAGGATTTGGTCTCCGTCTCGTCAGTCCAAGTTTGCCAGCTGTCCTCACCACTCTTCCCTCACACTAGAGGTCAGTCGGAAACGCATTATCAGTGGTTGCCTGGGAAGGCCTCAGCTCTCCCCTTCAATCGACACACACACACACACACACACACACACACACACACACACACACACACACACACACACACACACACACACACACACACAAGGCGTCGCTGAGGGTATATGTACGATGCCCAACGGGTATCATTGCAACGGAAAGCGTATATATATATTGAACAGTTTGAGTTATCTGTACCAAGCTGGAAAATTTTAGGATAGTTAAGAACCCTGGTTAAATCCCAAAGCTTAAATAAAATTAACAAACAATAAGCATTATACATTTTAAGAACATCTCAAATTGGGGTTTTGGTGTACATATGTATACGCAATATTTAACTTTAAATCGCACAAATAAAATACTTGTCAAAAGCTGAAGGAGGATGTGTTGCAGGAATAGGTGACGGGATGGTGCTTGGGAGAGACGCCATCTTTCTCTCTCTCTCTCTCTCTCTCTCTCTCTCTCTCTCTCTCTCTCTCTCTCTCTCTCTCTCTCTCTCTCTCTCTCTCTCTCTCTCTCTCTCTCTCTCTCTCTCTCTCTCTCTCTCTCTCTCTCTCGTCCTCTCAACAAATAGATCGCGTTTTTAACATTATGGTAATCAACGTTACAAATTAAACCTCCTATAAGAAGTAGCAGCTCACAAATATTTAAGAACTCTTTGCATTGAACTAAATAGGTAAGGTAAGTTGCTTGGGTTCGTTCGTTTCTGGTTAGGTTAGTAGGTTGGATCTTGTACGGAGCGGCCAATCAAGAGACCGCGGTCTGCTTTCCTCGCCCCTTCCCTCCTGGGCAGCGAAAGTTGACATGTTAGATACACACATAAAGAAGCAACTCAATATAAATCAACAACACCAATCATGTTTTGATCTTTTGTGTTCCTCGGGGCATGTAATTCTGATCAGAATTACATGCTAAAAAGCAAACTTAATTAGTTTTCAGTAGAACATGAAACACACTAAACATTGTGTTCGTCATATTGGTCCAAAATTATATAAAGAACGTCAGACATCATTCGTAGCTTTGCTTTGTATTATTAATTAATCTGCGGTATAGGTTTCCTATACAGTTAAATTGGTTTAAGTTTGGGTTTCAGAAGTCATATGTTTTCGATGTATTCTTTGTTGTGTTTGTTGTCTCTGTTGTTTTTATCTCTGTTTTTGTTATTGTCGGTTTTGTATTTGCGTTATCTGATTCATTCCTTGTCGCTGTTGTATTTGTTGTCTATACTGTATTTATTGAGTGTGTGGCATTTGTTGTTTCGGTTGCAATTGTCATATATATATATATATATATATATATATATATATATATATATATATATATATATATATATATATATATATATATATATATTTGTTGTCATAGTTGAAATTGTGGCCTTTGTTGTATTTGTTGATTATTTTGTATATATTGCCTTCTTTATTTTTTTATTTTTAAAATGTTTTCTTTCTTACTTTTGTTTTATGTGCTGTCTTTGTTATATTCATTATCTTCATTCGTTGGATTTATTTTACTTCTATCTGGTAGGTCCAAAAAATTAAGAATTTCACACAGACTAAAATTTGTAACTCCGAAGAAAGGCCAAAAAATTTAATTTCATTAAATATTCAACTGACCAGAAATATTAACAATATTATAATATAATATAATTTAATATTTTTAGCCCTGAAGCGAGACAGAGGGTGAGGGGAGACAACGAGAGCGAGATCAGATAGCAATCCCCCTGGATTTCCTCAGACAAACAGACGATCTCCACCTCCCCTCTCTCTCTCCCCAGGCACCAATCCTTGTCACCAACATCCTGCCAGACCTGGTGACTCACGTCGTGATCATTGCCCAGTGTATGTACCCAATGGCAGCCGCGAGGAGGTGATGGGAAGGGTGTGAAAGGGTGAGAAGATAGACGGCAGGAGAAATGTGGAAGAGGGATGGAAGGTGAGAGAAGGGGGGGGGGGGCTGGAGAAATACCAAGGTGAGAGAAGTGAGGTCTGGAGAGCTATCAAGGTGAGGTAATTGAAGACTGAAAAACTAACAAGATGAGAACATTCAGGGCTGAAAGTTATCGAATTGAGGAGGAGGTGAATTATATTACGTAGACATACAATGAATACACACGTGTGTATAATCACTTTAAAATTACCTCCTGAGAGCTATACGAACATTTCCTGCGCCGATAATACTTCAGTGGTACCATTTATGTCACAATAGTTTGTATAGAGATTTTTAAGACATTTATTTTTGTATTCTACACATTAATAAAAGGCCAGACTGGTAAACCTTCTAGAAGCTTTGATGATGGATTCACATAACTATTTTAACCAATCAGGTGCAAACGGTCACATGAGCGTATTTTATTGGATACGAAATCTGAGTTAAGGTGCCGAAACCAATCAGCGGACAGCTGGCTCTTCTCCTAAAGTGCCAGAAATGGCCCACACGGATATTGAGGTCCATTTAAGCCACATAATCTTGAGATTCGGGCGTGTTAAGGGTCTCAGCATTGTGTAAGAAACGTTTTCTGGTCTGAGAAGGTCAGTGGAGCTGCTGGATGCTAATGGATAACACACCAATTCGAAGAAAACGTCTGCAGTGATACAAGCACTTGTATCAGGAAGACGGATCATGAGACCGTTATGCATATTGAAAGTTTAACGTCTTCTTGGCAGGAGTACAATAAAGAGCTCTCCAACACCAGCTGCTGAAACTGTCTTTTTCGACTGGGAAACAAGAGTTTCCAAAAAAAAAGGAACCTATTTATCATAGACACATAAATATAAAGTAGCAAAATTTCTTCTTGCATTCTCACAGCTGGCGAAAATGACAAAATCACTGGATGAAAATTAAAAATTCATACCTGAAATCCCAGCATAATCTAAAGTTACTGGAGTAAGTCACAATAACGTTGCTGATAACTAGACACACAACATTCATATCTGAAAATAAAGGAAGAAACGACCTTTCGGTCCGTCTTGGACCATTATGTGACTTGATTATGGTCCAGAATGGACCGAATTGTCGTTACTTAATTATCAGATGTGTGAGTTGTGTGTCTAACTTATACAGTGATCCCGCAGATTATTATTGTCAGTAAGATGCCTTATATGTTACGTATGTGATCATTTATGTTATCATACAAACATTACTACTAACTGGGTGAAGATTCCACAAGTCTAAGAATTTGCTTGCTTGTCAATAGTTACTTATCAGGGACTATTTTAAATGTAAAGTTTCAAGCTTCCGTGTTTCCTTAGTGACATATTATTATGGTATGCGTAAGTCTTCGGTGACATCAGTGCTGGAGGATGACTGACGTCACTGGTGTAGGATGAATGACGTCACTGGTGTAGGATGACTGACGTCACTGGTGTAGGATAACTGACGTCACTGGTGTAGGATGACTGACGTCAGTGGGGTTACATGGGCGAGTAACCGCCACAAGGAGTTAATATATTAAAAGACAACTAAAAGTAATTTAAACTTAAAACATATTTTCCAAAGTTTCTTCAACAACTAAACAAAAACAAATAAGAAAATCCTCTAAATTTGCAACAAAACTTACAAACGTACGAACACACCCACACACGTAAATGGGCTTGCGTGCACGCACACACACACACACACACACACACACACACACACACACACACACACACACACACACACACACACACACACACACACACACACACATTAGAGAGTGCCACACACACACTAGTCTCTCCGCACATTACAACGATTAGGACACCTTTATTAAGGATCACATTAAAAACTATTAACAAAAATGCGTGTCGTTGAAGGTCTGGAGTTTCCGGAGATTGGTGGGGAGTGGGGTGAGGCGGAGGACAGTGAAGAGTGGAGTGAAGAGAGGTTGGTAGAAGGGAGAGAGAGAGAAAGAGAGACAGACAGACAGACAGAGGACAGATAAGGAGATGCAGAAGGAAACGCATTGTCTTGCATTTCCCTCCCCTTGCGATAAATGGGGTGACAAGTAGGGATGACTCCATACTGAGTCATCTGCTTCATACACCCTTGCTCTTGGGGCCGCGGCAGGATCAGAAGAGGAATGTTTTTATTAATCACTCCCTAACGAGGCGTCATTTTCAAACATATTTCTCGGGATTATTCTAAAACTTATATTGCTGTGTTATTTCCAGCCGGATTTTGCAGCGTTACTATCAACCGGATATCGCGACTTCATTCCCAAACGGATATCACAAACGGACCTCGCGACGTCATTCGTAAATGGGTTTACTGACATCATGCCTCAATCAGCTGCTTCGGATACTGGCGTCGGTTGAATGAACGTCAAGAAACAATAAAAGCCAACATAAAAAGCGAGGACCTGCAATCTCCCACAATGAGAAGAGAGAGAGATACAGCTTATCTTATCTCGCTGGCGATAGAGGCTCCAGACCAACGACTGTGTGGCGAGGCCCGTTAGTAGTTTGTGAGTGGCCAGCAAGAAAGTGGGTAGCTGGTGTGTGTGTGTGTGTGTGTGTGTGTGTGTGTGTGTGTGTGTGTGTGTGTGTGTGTGTGTGTGTTTACTAGTTGTGTTTACTAGTTGTGTTTTTGCGGGGGTTGAGCTTTGCTCTTTCGGCCCGCCTCTCAACTGTCAATCAACTGTTTACTAACTACTTTTTTTTTTCCCACACCACACACACACACCCCAGGAAGCAGCCCGTGACAGCTGACTAACTCCCAGGTACCTATTTACTGCTAGGTAACAGGGGCACTTAGGGTGAAAGAAACTTTGCCCATTTGTTTCTGCCTCGTGCGGGAATCGAACCCGCGCCACAGAATTACGAGTCCTGCGCGCTATCCACCAGGCTACGAGGCCCCTATGTGTGTGTGTGTGTGTGTGTGTAATTACTTGATTGTACAATAATATGTGTGCGTGTAATGCTAACCTAAGGTGCGGGAATTGCTCAAGGATCTGTAGCTCCATGATCCTGCTTATCGTCTTGTCTGACTCCTTTGTAAAACTGTGTAACACAATCCATCTTGCCAATAGGCACGTTTATGAGTGTGAGTGTGTTTGCGGATTCGCGTTTGTGTGGGAGTTTATGTACTCAAGCGTTTGTGCTCGTATATGTCCGCGTGGGTGAATGCACAAGGCGCTTCCATTCCCTTATTACCAGCTTTTACTCTGCTGTAATATTACGAAAATTTACTCACAAGAAAGTTAGGACACCTTCAACTTTTCAACACCTTTTATGGTCGCTTTAAAGCGTGATATTTATTATTTGTATTAAGAGAGGAAATGACATTAGTGTCAAAACTTTGGTCACGATATTAACTTCAGTCCTTCGTAGCGTTTATTGGTCAATAACCTGAGGTGTTAAGTTTGATATTGTCCTTAACTTATTCTCATCCCTTGCTGTACTGAGTCTTAACGCTAAGTTCCTCCAACACTTTATTAGTTATTATGTAAAGCTGCTCATGTGATTCAATAAGTCGTCAGTTCTAATTTCGGCTGTGCTTTATTTATAATTAACCTGAACTGTTTCTTTGCTTTACTGAATCTTTATCCTGAGCTCAATATACATTTCATTAAATCATTACCATTAACCTAATGTGTTCTTACTATTTATTTAATCAATAACTAGAGCTGACCCATACATACATATACATATATATATATATATATATATATATATATATATATATATATATATATATATATATATATATATATATATATATATATATATATATATATATATAGCTCTCTCCTTCTATCCTTCTAATTACCTTAAGTTACTTAAGTTTGAAGTGTTTGAGGGATCCAGTGACCTCCAAGGAGCACCTCGGGTCGTATCAAAACAAACTTCAGATAATAAATCTGAATAAATAGATAATTCATATAAGTTTACTTGATACTTGCATTGATGAAGACCCTCTTTCCCAAGTAACGTCATCACACGGCCTCACGCGCATGAAAAATTTGGTAAATTACCAGAATTAATTTATCTTACGCTAAATACTTATTGACAAGTAGTAACAAATTATCCTTTTGATGATTCAGTGCTCGTCACATTAGCGCTAATTACTGCTAATGACTTGCCAGGCTAATTTACAACCAAAGTGTTTTGATCTCTCTGTGTAATACAAACAGAGGGCATACGTGCGTGTGTTTGTGATTGTGCATGTGTACATGTCAGTGTGTGAGTGTCAGTGTGCGTATGTCCGAGTGTGTTCGTTTGTATATGCGTGTCTTTTATCTAATTTGATTCACCTATATGTGCCTCCTGATCTGAGCTGTTAATTCTTGGATTCCAGCGTTCTAACTGCCCCATGCTAAATGTATACATCCCAGGCAGGGCGAGACGTATGGGCAAGTCTCCTTACACCCATTGCTGTTCACACCTCTGTTCACCTAGCAGTGATTAGGAACCTCTGTGTTAGTCGACTGTTGTGGGTGGCATCCTGGAGGATGGTCAAATGCTGCATATATCCCAGGTATACCCGAATTTCCCACAAACGCCCCAAGGCCCAGCACGAGGAAAATAGTCACACGGCTACACATAAAGTATATGGTAAGGTAAAGAAACTAGCGCCGCGAGGCCACTGCAACCAGTGGGCCGGAAGGTCCCAAAGTCCAAAAAAGGTTTCACGCCCGAAGTCAAAGAGTGGGTTCACGCCCGAAGTCAAAGAGTGGGTTCACGCCTAAAGTCAAAGAGTGGGTTCACGCCCGAAGTCAAAGAGCGGGTTCACGCTCGAAGTCAAAGAGTGGGTTCACGCCCGAAGTCAAAGATTGGGTTCACGCCCGAAGTCAAAGAGTGGGTTCACGCCCGAAGTCAAAGAGTGGGTTCACGCCCGAAGTCAAAGAGTGGGTTCACGCCCGAAGTCAAAGAGTGGGTTCACGCCCGAAGTCAAAGAGTGGGTTCACGCCCGAAGTCAAAGAGTGGGTTCACGCCCGAAGTCAAAGTAATCTGCCTAATTTGTTTTGTTCTGCCATATTTGTTGCCCAAAACGCAGTGCGTATTAGTGGCTTGAGGCATAGTATGTACGAGCTCTATTTAGAAATCCAACATTCTGTTTGTAACTCATCTTGTATGTGCTTTTACCTGAATAAACATTTATTTATTTATTTATTTATTATTTAATTGTTTGTCTCGGTCAGGAATCGAACCGGGGTCCATGATTGTGAACTTGTAGCCATCTCGGCCGCCTGACTTTCTGTGTGTGTGTATTCACCTAGATGTTCTTGCGGGGGTTGAGCTCTTCTCTTTAGGCCCGCCTCTCAACTGTCAATCAACTGTTACTAACTACTATTTTTTTTATACCCCCCTCCCCCCTTCCACACACTCATACCCCTGGAAGCAGCCCGTAACAGCTGACTAACTCCCTGGTACCTATTTACTGCTAGGTAACAAGAGCATCAGGGTGAAAGAAGCTCTGCCCATTTTGTTTCCGCCATCACCGGGGATCGAACCCGGACCCTAAGATTTTGAATCCAAAGCGCTGTCCACTCAGCTATCAGGGCCCCTGTGTGTGTGTGTGTGTGTGTGTGTGTGTGTGTGTGTGTGTGTGTGTGTGTGTGTGTGTGTGTGTGTGTGTGTGTGTGTGTGTGTGTCTATTTAGCCAAAACAACTTTTTTGTTATATTTTTATCCATCATCGCAAGTAATTCCACCTGCATAAAACATCTCAGATTATCGTTAAATCCTGTTTCACAAAAGACATTTGATTAGAGGTAAAAATTGTCTTTTGGGAATTATATGACAATTCAAGCCTTGTAATAATAATTTTAGAAATTTTTGTTTTCTCCATTGTTTCTATATAATTATTATATTCACCAGCAGTCTCCTGTGATGAAGCACTTGACATTACACTTACACTTAGGTCATTATACACACTCACTGGCCTCCTCCCGTGGCCACACACTCGTCCCAAAGCTCACTACAGCACAGTAAATGTAATAATATTTAACTTCTAGGCAATTAAATCCTTCACTCTTCGTTGCCACAAGTACCTTCATTATCCCAAACTTTCCCTTCAATATCCTTCCTTTCCCTTCAATATCCTTCCTTTTATTCTGTTCCTTTATCACAACCTACTCCTCCTTCTCCTTTTCCTCCTCCTCCTGCTCTTCCTCCTGCTCCACCTAATTCCCTTCATCCCAATCCAATTACTGCTTAAAAATTTAACAGATATTTTCATCTCCAGGTTTTACGTATCATTTTTATGTTTAATTTTTCTGGCTCTGTTTTTCCTTTTAACATGCCAATATTTGTAGGTGAGTTTTTATTGATGCTTTTTGCTATCCTCCCTATGGCTACTGCATGATGGTAAAGTGTTCAGGTGTGTGTGTGTGTGTGTGTGTGTGTGTGTGTGTGTGTGTGTGTGTGTGTGTGTGTGTGTGTGTGTATGTGTATGTGTGTGTGTGTGTGTGAGTGTGTTTTTGCTTGTATGTGTGTGTGTTTACTATTTGTATTTACTATTTTTACCTCCAGGATCGAGCTTCTAAGTTCCGGATCTCTGCCTTGTTAACCCATTGGTTGTCTAATGTACTGTTTCCCTACCTAGTTTTCTCTATAAAATCTTCTGCGCATATTCTCTCTCTCTCTCTCTCTCTCTCTCTCTCTCTCTCTCTCTCTCTCTCTCACACACACACACACACACACACACTCACACATACGTTAATTAGTTTACACGCAGATAAAAGTTTATATTATTTTAGACGATACTTTAAACGTTAACTTATTAGTCTAACCGTTTATGATATATAGATATACAGTTAACTTGGAGGGCTGGGCCCCAGCCACTTGGACTGGTCAGTAAAGTGATGGCCTCGATTCTTGCAGGTCATAGTTCGATCCCAGATGGTACAAGTGGTTGTTCCCATCGTTCCTTCCTTCCTTCCGTTTTATCCCAACTCCTTGTCTTTATATCCCTTCTAAGTACAGTATAGTCGTACTGGCTTAGCGATTTCTCCTGTTAATTACCTTACCATTGTAGGACTTGTTGAGACGCTATTGTGTTAAAACAAAATCGTAAAATGTTTCTAATATGGCTTAAATTATGGTCAATTTCTTAACTGTGTAGAATGCAGCTTATATCATATTTTCTTATAAATTTCACTACTCTGATGTGACTTTCCGTGGTATTAAGTCAGGACAGGTTTTATTGGTTTTGGTGTGGAGGTTATGGCCTAGTAACCTTTGGAGTTGTTATTAAGACCACTACAATTGCTTACTAAACAACCTGCAAGAGTATGTAAGTCTTGAACATAGGTCGGAAGTAGGCAGTGTAGATACACAGAGAACTGTGGTATGCATATCGTTGTTTATATGTATATATAACCATGAGGCGATGCTTTGTACTGAATATTTTA